CTATATATATATATATATATATATATATATATATAGTATGTGTGTGTAAGTGGGGGTTTTAGGTGTGGTACTAGGTAAAGACCAATGACATTCTAGAACAAGTTTGGTCACAGCCAATTCTTGATCCAAATCAGTAATCTGGATGAAGAATTGCCGGGTTTTAAAACACTAGATCAAAACTTTCAACCTTACAACCAACATCTATATGTGTGTTTCGAAAAAAAATAACGTCCTTTAATTATCTAATTTTTACATGGTCCAATTCAAGTGTTTAAAAGCTCAAAAGTGAAAAGGACTCAAATCTTAGAAACAATGAAAAAGAAAAGACAAAAGACGGGTTTATTGTGCTAACGCATGTACCACTTCTCACTAATAAGTCTCCGTCCATTTAACGCTTCAACTGGCCAGGCATGTTATGCCTTTTTATTTTTCTTTATTTATTCATTTATTTATTTGTATCTTTGGGCTTGGCTAGGGAAGGAGAGTGTGGCTGGATGTTTACTTTATTGTACAAGTAAATGAGCCAAATACATGAAAGGCCTCCATTCTATAATGCCCAAATACATAAAAAATAAATAAATGGGTATGATATAACTTCCATTAAAAGTAGTTTCCAGTCAGTTTTTAATGTTCCCTTTCCTTCTTAATCATATATACAACTATATGGGATGTAGTTTTTATAAGGCATGGATTTTATGCAAATAAAGTAAAGCCCCACCTCAAATCTTCGTTTGGAAAGCACTTTGGCTATCGGAAATTTTTATGATAGCTTTAAAATCAATTTTCATCACCGACTATGAAATTTGAATCTTATGGATCCGTAAACACTTTATTTTAGGGTGGATTGAATGATTTAAACAATGTGTTTCAATATATGCTATTTTTAGGGCTTACAATCTTTTTATTTATTTTTAGTTTTTTACAACCACATAATCAATGCCAAGATGATCGATTTGGAGGTTCACATTACAAATTTATAAGGTATTTTACGGTTGAAAAATTATACAATAAGACTCTTTATCTTGAGCTGTTACAATCACTCCCGACTATTGGATATAAAATTTGGTGGCCTGAATGTGCTATTGCCCACACTTACGTTCAAGGAAAGCAATTTTGAACTCTGTTCACACCTAAGTCATTAGATTTTATGATTTTGACGTCCTTGTAGCAAAAATAATTGGAAAACTTATACTATTGTAGTAGGAAGCATCTACGCAAGGGATCTCGCCCATAGGCCCATCGCCATCCAAAAAAATCAGATGGCGTGTGGTTTTCGACTGCCACAGACCTAGCATGTCTGTGGCGGTATTGTCACAGACATTTTAGGTCCGTGACGGTAAAAAATCACGCGGAATGTCAACTACAGAGAGCTGTCTATTACGGATCCATTCAATAAACTGCCACAGACATAGCAGGCCTGTGATGGTGGTGAAACACTGTAGCACTTCGCCTATAGGTGTTTTTCAGGTTTTTTCATTGTAGTAAGGTCACCACAAAAATCCTTTAGAAGAGAGTGTTCTGAATTTTCCAATTGATCATCTCAACCTCGAGATATATAGATATGAAGAAACATTAGAATAGGTATAGTTCATATGAGGCTAAGGCCCTAAATAATCAAAGTAATGTGCACCTTCACGTAGTGCTAAAATATATTATTTCACTATCATAAATTTTTATGATGGCTAGAAAATTTATTTTTATTTTTAATTATAAAATTTAAAGATTTAAAATTTGTGTAGATCGAACAAATCTATGAATACTTGAAAATCTTGAAAATTGACAATTTAGATAATATGTTATAATATACACTATTTCCAATACTTGAAATCTGTTTTTTCTCATGTCCATACATCTTGAGGTTGAGATGATCGAATTGAGGGGTTTAAAAACATCGAAACAACATATTCTCGTGAGTTTTTTATATGTGCCTTAATTTGATTGTTTAGGACCTCAACCTTATATAATTTTTTTCTAAAAATCGTATATCTTGTAACAAGTTATTTGGACCATCTATTTTCAAAATTTCCAAGTGTTTATAGATTTGCTCAATCTGTACTATTTTTTATCTTTTAAATTTCATAACGAGGGGCGAAAGACACACTTTCAAGCCATCATAAGATTTTGATTAATTCATATATACCAAAAAACAAAAACAGAATAAGCCAATTTTGGGAAAAACTTACACGTAAGATCAGTCAACCAGGCTTTTTTTATTTTTTCAAAATTACCCTTTGGTCAAACCGCTTTTTAATTTTAAATTTTTTTAATTTTTTGTTAGTAGGGCTCACCTGACTCGATCTAGAGAGCGGTCCAAACTTCCATCCTCATACCACTCTTTTCTTCCACAAATGCTAGAACTGATTCAGGGCCCAGGGCTCAATCCTAGAGCGGTATAACGTCCACATCCTCGAACCACTCATAAACTCAGCCCTACATACAAAATAATAATAATAATAATAATAATAATGTATTTTCTTATTTGTTTGTGTACGTTTCTAAATTACGGTGAGATTTTTGACATGAGAAGTGGGCAAAATTTAGAGGGGCTCTTAAAAGGGTGGCCGCCTTATATAAACCTCACCCAAAATAAGCATAAAGCCAAACCCTTTACACTGGGATGGGATGGGATGGGATGGGATGGGATGAGGAAGCCGAATACGAAAATGAAAAAAATTTACTCCCACGCCGTACGGCCTGAATCTCTCTCTTGATTTTCACACACATATGACCACACCCAATCAATCTCTTACGTTACCGCCAACAGCAACATATGGGAAAAGCTCAAAGCCTCTAGAGAGAGAAAGATGCCTTTAGAGAGAGAAATATGTGGCACATAGAACCAAGGAGATACACCCAACAACTAAACGGTCTCCCATTCCTTTCCTGCACGTCATCTCTCTCACTTTCTCTCTCTAGAGTCAATACCTGAATATAAATGTGGCACCAATCATGTATCACAAACAAACTTGCACCGCTCTCTCTCCCTCTGTCTCTACAGAAGAGAAGAGAAGAGAAGAATCAGGAGGAGGTGCAGTTCTCTTTGTGTGGACATGGAAGCTGAGGCTTGTAGCCGAGCATCTATGAAAAGGAAGAGGCAGGAGGGGGAGACAAACAGTGCAGCAACATCATCACCACCGTCCATGGCGATGGCGATGATGATGATGAATTTGGTACCTGATCATAATGGTGCTCATTGTGCTAATAAGAGTAAGGTCGCAGAGCAAAGTGAAGCAGAAGCGATAGTTGGTGTTGGTGGTGGTGGCGCAGGGCAAGAGGAAATAGCTATGGCTACGGCCGGTGGCGGTGGAATTCCGACGAATAATCATAATAGGCGGGTGGTGGGTGGTCCTCAAACTCATCATCCTCATCGGAGCCGGAAGCGATTTGTGGGGGTGAGGCAGAGGCCGTCGGGGCGGTGGGTGGCGGAGATAAAGGACACGATACAGAAGATACGGCTGTGGCTCGGCACCTTTGACACTGCAGAGGATGCTGCACGAGCTTACGATGAGGCTGCGTGCATCCTCCGCGGTGCTAACACGCGCACCAACTTTTGGCCCGCTTCTTCATCCTCGCCATCGTCCTCATCGCCGGCCCTCCCATCCCGCATCTCGCGTATGCTCCGACTCCGCCTCCTCAAGGCCTCCGCCAATCGCAGCAGCAATGACACTGCTTCTTCCGCTCTCCTTGATGATCACCAACCACCACTAGACAGCCACCACTCTCACCCCCACCACCACCACCAGAGGTGGAGCACAGATCCATCTTCATCATTATCGTTGCCATCATCGTCATTGTCATCATTATCAGGCCCACCTCTCGAAGGTTTCCACAACACTGAGGACTATTTCGATGTAAATACTTCTGCTAGTGCTTCTAATACTACAGGAAGAGGAGTAGTTGCAGCAGTAGCCGAAGACGAAGAAGAAGAATTCGAAGGAGGAGGAGAAGAGATGATGGTGCTAGATTTTGAGCATCAGGGAGGGGTGGTGCCATACCCCTTTGAGATTGCACAAGAAATGGCCGGCATGCCCCTAGAGGTTCAAGAGGAGGAAGAGATCCCTGTTGTCTCACAAGTCCCTTACAGTGGTGGCGGTGGTGGTGGCGGCGGTGGAGATGAGGTGAGCATGCTGAGGGCGAGGTTCAATTACGAGAGGAACATATCCGCTTCACTTTACGCCATCAATGGAATCTCAGAGTTCCTCAGATACACAAGCAACCTCAGGGGGGACAACTCCGATAACTCCCAACACCAATTGCAGCAGCAGCAACAGATGACGATCGAAGAAAATGGCGGCGATTGCCGAGGGGCCGCTACCGATACCGATACCGGAACTTCTCAGAGCAGCAGTGACCATCAAATTGTTGTTGAAGGAAGTGATGTTACTGAATCATTTCTATGGAGCTCTTTGGATCTACCCCCAATCTGCTTTGTTACATAAATGCAAAGGCCTCTGAGTCATCCTATTAAGACATGGATGGTGCAGAATAGAAGAGGCCCTCTCCTTTAGATTATATGCCATAAATAACAATAAAAATAATTAAAATTATAAGAAGCTCTTCTTCAACATTGCACTCAGCTCTTCTAAAGAAGAACAAAGAAAAATTTTGGTTTCTAGATGACAGTTATCTCAGACCTAGCTCATGGTACTACTACTTACAAAGACAATTGAGCTGAGTTTTAGTTCTCTCAAACCCTAAAGCAGCCAGTAAGTTTGTTGATTTTTTCCTTGACATTCCAATTTTATTCTTAGGAATAATTTAACAAAGACATGTACTGCAATGACCAAAGATTCCATTGTGATGCTTCTCACCCCCTATGAAATTCTCAAGTACTTTGCTATTCATGGGTCAATGCCGTAGTTCTATTTTTTCTCTCTTATTTTTATTTTTATTTTTATTTTTATTTTATTTTTTTATAAATTCTCAAGTACTTTGTCATCCATGGATCAATGGCATACGTCCTTCTCTCCCTCTTTTATTATTATTTTTTGTGTGTTGTTGTTGTTGGGGTAGATTGATAAATTTAGACAAGATGCAGAGCTCAAGATTAGTTTAGAGAGAGAAACTATATTGATCAATTCTCATTAACAAGAAATGAAACCCTAAAAAGCTTTCTATACAAATACATATTTAGTGTAGACCACATTATCCTTACATAAATATATAATGACAATAAATGACAACTGAAAATTATGCATTTTATTTTTTTATACACGTTATTACCCCCTTCAAGCTGATGCGGACATGAGTAAAGCATCAGCTTGTCCACTAGAAAATCATGACTGCTCTGAATAAACGATTTGGTAAAAATATCAACCGTTTGCGCAGTAGAAGAAACATAAGGGAGAGATAATATACCATCAAGATAGCGATCTCGAACATAATGACAATCTACGTTAATATGCTTTGTTCGCTCATGAAAAATTGGATTAGAGGCAATCTTAATTGCAATTTGGTTATCTACATATAAAGATGTAGGATTTGAAATAGAGATACAAAATTCATTGAGAAAAACACAAACCCAAAGAATCTCACTAGCAATAGAGGACACAGCATGATATTCAAGTTCAGTGCTTGACTTGGAAACAGTGTCCTGTTTATTGCTCTTCCATGATATTAATGATGAACCAAGAAACACACAATATCATGTAGTAGAATGGCAAGTGTCAGGATCATCTGTACAATATGCATCTACATATGCATTAAGATCTAAAGACGATGTGGAGTCAAAGAATAATCCACGAATGGAAGTATCGCAAAAATAGCGTAAAATCCAATGATTTACTGATAGATGTGATTATCGAGGATCTGAAACAAATTGGCTCACAACATGGACAACATTTACAATATCTGGGAGAGTCATAGTGAGATAGATGAGGGAGCCGACAAGTTTGCGATACATCGTATGCTCAAGAAGAGGATCTTCATCATGTGCAAAAAGTTTAACATTGAGTTCCATTCGCATCATTCAATCAGGCACTGAAAATAACATCAAGTGCATACTTCTGTTGATGGATGTAAATACCACGTGTAGAGCAAGAGATCGCAAGACCAAGAAAATAAATACTTTCCCAATATCCTTCATTTGAAATTCTTCTTGCAATCATAGCTTTACATCCTTGATGGAAATGAAATCATTGTCAAAGATAAGAATATCATTAACATATAATAAACTAATGCAATTCTATGATTTGTGGTACGAATAAACATGGAGTGATCATGTTTATTTTGGGTGAAGCCAGTTGCAAGAATGACAGCCCAAAAAAGCTCAAACCACGCACAATGAGCTTGTTTAAGATTGTAAATTATTTTACGAAGTCGACAAATGAATGACTTATCTTGATAAACAAACTCATGTGGTTGATGCATGTAAACTTCCTCTTGACGTTCGCCATTATAGAATGCATTTTTTACATCCATCTGTCACATGGGCCACTCACAAATAGATGCGAGTGCAATAAAAGTACGAATAGTTGTCATCTTAGCAACTAGAGCAAAAATTTCTTTATAATCGATGTCATGCTCATGGGAATAATCATGAGCAACTAATCGAGCCTTGTGCCAATCAAGAGTATCATCAGTTCGTACCTTGACTTTATAAACCCATTTACTATCAATGACATGCTTTTCTGGGAGTAATGACTAAATCCCAAGTGTGATTTTTCTCTAAAGCTGCAATTTTTTCATTCATAGTTATATGCCAACATTGGAGGTTAGACGCCTGATAATAAGAAGATGGCTTATGAAACAATGAGATTAGTAATGGTTGCAAAGAACAAATATAGTATGGGCTAACCACAGGTAAGTTAAGACGATTAGGTGGAACGGGCTTTCGAAGTGACCGCCGAATGTGAACATGACCGGTAAAAGAATCAACAACTAGAGGTGATGCATGATCAACACTTGACAAAGACGACTCATCAGAGTTAGTTACTGAATGTGGTAATCCATAATTTTTATGATAATGAGAAAGAGGAATATCAAAACTATAAAAAATATAGCTTGTCAGGTTATTCTAATACGATTAATAGAAAGATTAAAACAACGATGTCCTTTTAATTTGTTGAATAACCTACAAACATGCATTTTACAGACTTAGGTGGGGGTTTATCAAGGGTAAGAGATGGTAAAAGCACAAATCACGTACACTCGAACACACGTAAATGTGAGTAATCACGAGGTTTTTTAAAAAGCTTTTCAAATGGTGACACATTTTGCAAAATCGGTGCAAGAAGAAGATTAATAAGATAGACAACAGTAGACATCGCTTCAGCCCAAATGTCACATAATAAGAAAATAAATCCAAGTACATTTAGAAAAATCATCTATAAATATCACATAATAAGAAAATCCATTAATTGAAGGAACATAAGCAGGGCCCAAACATCATAGTGAACTAAAGAGAAATGATGGATACTTTTATTATTGTTGTAAGGAAAGGTTGAACCAAGTATTTTTTCAACTTGCAACTCTCACAAACAATATTCTTATCAAATTTTCTATAAGAAAGATAGCAGGTAAAAAGCCAAGAGTTTAAAAGAGAAAGCATTATTTGAGAATGTGGGTGTCCTAACCTACAATGCCAAACATAGAATTTGATTGGCTTATTTCATGAGGAGAAAGGGAAAGATGACAAATTGGCAGAGTTTGTGAAAGTTGGGAATGAGCTTCACTGAAACTAATTGTAAAAAGCCGACCTTGTTTAGTGCCTCTCCCAATCACTTTCCTTGTTGCTAGATCCTGCATCACACAACCTTTACTAGAAAAAGAAACAAGGCACTTGTTATCAACTAACTAGCTAACAGATATTAAATTCAAAGGAAGGTTGGGAATATGATAAACATTTTTTAATGCTAAGAAGTTACTAGATGGACTAGGGATACTGGTATTACCAGAGTAGGTAACATGAAGTGGAGACTCATTAGCAGTAAAATACGATATTTTCAGAATGGGGTTTTATCGAAGATAAATGTGAAAGTTATCATGTCAAATGAATTGATGCTCTTGAGTCTATGATCCAAGAGCTTGATAAAGGATTTGAGTTACCTGAAAAATCCATGACAGTTAAAACCTGAGCAAGTTGTTGGAGTGTAGTTGAGTCAATAGAGTGAAGAACTGGTATGAATAAGAACTGGTATGGATACAGGGTAACAGTTCTGGAGGCAGAATGAGAGTGACTAGAAGTGGCATCCTCCATGCTGGTGGGAGTAGGAATGGACATGATTGCAGCCCATTGAGTCAGACTAGGTGCAGGAGGATTCCCACGTGCCTGAGGGCGTTTTCAATAATTATTTATTACATGCCCGAGATTCTTACAATAATTAAAAAAAAAAAGTGCTTCTTGCACCGATCGACCGTGTGGCCTTTCTGTTTGCATATGTAACATTGTACTTGGACATAATTGGTATCTTTGTTAGGAAAATTGGAAGTTCCTAAGATCACATCAATGACATCTTGTGATGTGGATTTGCAAACCCCAAGAAAGCTTAAGCAAGTTTTTTCAGCAAGGAGTTCTGAGAAGCAATCATCTAATCATGGAGTGGGAGTACGATGAATAATTGATGCTTTCATGCTTTCAAACTCCAATCGCAAACCCATAAGGAAGTGAAATAAACGAGACCGTTTTCGTGTTTTAGTAATAGCTTCAGTGGGTGGCTTTGTCTCCATTGAGTCCATCTCATTCCATATACCTGAAGGAGTATTAAAATAATCTTGAATTGATGAGTCCCCTTGTTGTATCTTCATGCTCTCTTATTCAAAGACATACATATGGGCAGTGTTTGCTTGAGAATAAATCTTCTGTAAAATAATCCCCCATTGCTTTAGCACTAAGTTGATACGTAAAGTTGTGCCCAATTTTACAAACGAAATATGGAGATTAAGGTGTCCACAAAGAAAATAAAATTTATCTGATTACTGACCTTCACAAAAAAAAGTGATATGTGAGCAGCAACATAGAAGAGATGATCGGATCTTTAGGGCTCTGATACCATGACGGATTTAGAGAAGATATAGAGCTCAAGAACAGTCTAGAGAGAGAAACTATCTTTGATCAATTTTTATTAACAAGGAATGAAACCCTAAAAGGGTTTATATACAAATACAAATTTAGTGTAGACCACATTATCCCTATACAAATATACAATGACAATAAAAGACAACTGAAAATTATATATTTTATTTTTGTATATACATTATTATAGATACCTTAAGCACTAACCAAGGATGCTACCTTTGTCACCGTAATTCAAGACCCCCAAAGTCTTCTAACGGGTGAATAATTTTTTTATGACAAATTCAAGGTTGGAAAGGTTAACCTGCCTAGAGTTGTAGCGGGTTGCGTCCAAACCGGGTCAACCCCAATTTTGACCTGACTCAATCAGGTCAGTATTTTTTCTAATATCAGTTTTGAATCTCCAATCAACAACAGGGAGATCTA